GCGCCCGGACGCGCGAATTATGTCAGCAGTCAACTCCAGTCACAACACAACCGCAGAGATCAGCCCTATCATGGCTCAGGCAACATTTCCTGATGATGTACTCCCGCCCGAGGGCATATACGACTCTAGGGAGGCTCTCCTTTTATCCATTAACTCTTGGGCGAAGCTTAGAGGCTATGCTTTCACGACGGGGAAATCCTTAAAAACCCCAAACGGTCGAGTCAAGGTTGTATTTGCATATAATCGGAACAAGCCACCGCCAAGTATATCTGCCGAAAGGATACATCGTATATACAGCCGAGGGACTGGTTATAAGTTCTCAGTACTTGCCAAACAATCCCTTGGGGGGGATTCATAGGTCCTAAGCTACCGGCCGAGCCAGGAACACATAATCCATAATCACCCTCCGAGCGGAGACCTATCCGTACACCCTGCGTACCGCCAACTTAAGGAAAACGATATAAAAGCTATATCAAGTCTTATAGCTTCTGGAGCTGCCCCTTGGGAAATTAGAACCTATCTTCAGAAATACTCCGATACCCTCGCAACCCAGAAGGATATCTACAATCGAATTGCGGCTACGAGGCGAGATCTATGTGAGGGTCAAAGCAGCATCCAGGCACTAGTCGACCAATTGAGCAGGGAGGGTTTCTGGTGCAGAGTCCGATTGGATCCTGGTAATCGACTAACGGCTATCTTCTTTGCCCACCCAGACTCTATTGTATATCTGCAATGCAACCCCGACGTCTTGATATTGGATTGCACCTACAAAACAAATAAGCATGCTATGCCACTTCTTGATATGGTCGGCGTTGACTCCTGCCAAAGCTCTTTCTGTATCGCCTTCGCGTTTCTCTCCGGTGAGACAGAGGAGGACTACTCGTGGGCCTTGCAACATCTCAAATCCCTTTACCAGCATGATCTTCCTTCAGTCATTTTGACGGACCGGTGGCTGGCAGCGATGAATGCTTCAGCCACCTGGTTCCCCCTCTCTAAGTCACTGCTTTGCCTCTGGCACGTCAACAAGGCAGTCTTACAGCATTGCCGACCTGCCTTCATGCTGGGCGGTGGAGATCAGCCAGAAAAGGCACGGGATGAATTCTATGCATCCTGGCACTCGATTGTAGCCTCTCCAACTGAAGCAGTATTTCAGGAGCGCCTGACTAGCTTCGAGTGCAAATACGCCAAGAAGTACACAGAGGCCGTTGGGTATATCAAGACAGTCTGGCTTGATCCATATAAGGAGATGGTCGTCAAAGCATGGGTAGATAAATACTTGCATTTCGGCAACATTGCTACCTCAAGGCAGGTAGATTATAGGGCCATGGAGCCGTAGGGGATAGATACTGATAAACTTCCTAGGGCTGAAGGAATTCATTCCCTGATAAAATCATACATCAAGACTTCTGCTCTAGACCTCTTTGATACCTGGCAAGCAATGAAACCGGCCATTACTAACCAATTGAGAGAACTAAGCCATGTACGGGCCTCTCAGCAGTTACGGATACCTCTAGATATCTCCGGAGTGTTGTTTGAGGCTATACGGGGTTGGGTCTCGCATTAGGCTCTACGCAAGGTGCAGGAACAACAACGGTTGATTCCAGCGCTCAAAGCTCCCTGTAGCCAGAGATTCACATCATCGCATGGACTACCGTGTGCACATACCTTGAAAAAGCTGGAGGAAGAAAGGAAGACCCTCTTGCTAGAACAATTTCATCCTCATTGGTACTTGAAGCGGCATGTAGATCAACCACGGCCTATGTTGGAGCCTAGAGCAGCCTCGAGCCAGCATAACGAGAGACGCAACCAGCCGGCAAAAAGTACGAGGCGAGAGCCTAGTGCATTTGAGGCAGTTGAGGCCGCGGTACAGCCGAGGGCACAGCCTACGTGCAGCAGATGCCACTCGTTAGGACATAAGATGACCTGGAAAGCATGCCCTCAGCGGTACGAAGAGCTTTTGCAATCGTCAGTAGCATCATCATCATCGGCGGCAGCACCCGAGCAGGCACTGGAAGCACCTATAGTACCGCCATCGGGATCGCCAGAGCATGCAGGATCAGGTGGAGATGGTCCCGGTTGCATTGTCGTTAATGTCGGTGGCATGAGTAGCAGAGCGCCAGCAGTGTCGCTAGCAGCGCCATCAACACAGGCAGGGGCGGGGCCTTCATTAAGATATGATGACCCCCGAGCTATCTATCAGAGATATGTTGTCGCTCGAGACACATGGTACAAGGCCCAACTCAGTGAAAGTGTTAAAAGCAATCAAAAATATAGGAAGGCGATGGGTCTGCCTCTACGATACGATAAAGCGAGCTACCAGTGGTGCCTAGACTGGAAGCAGATGGGTGCACGCTGTATATTATCCCCAGGGTCTAGAGATTGGACTAAGGAAGAGATGATAGCCTACCTAGATTGGAGTAAGGCGGAAGATGATCGGGTTGAGGCTCAGGTAGCCGCAGAGATGGAAAGCAATCCTTTTTCTGTTGGTAGAAGAGGCATGCGAGAGATATGGGAGGCGGCTGCAAAGGATGACAGAGAGCAGCAGAGCTTATATTCAACTAAGTAGTCTTTCTGGATTTATGGCCGTTCTAGATCTTAGAATCTAAAGTTTTTGCGTGTTGATAACTAGCCGCGGCTCCCCCTGACTGATCTCTGCGGTTGTGTTGTGACTGGAGTTGACTGCTGACATAATTCGCGCGTCCGGGCGCGCGAGTTCTAAAAGCGCGCCCGATCTGCTGGTGGCTGGGATGTGGATACTATGTGAGGAGCTGTGCGCCTCTGAGACATATGCAACTTAGACCTTTTAACATCACTGACAATTATTCGCTTCATCAGGAAGAAATTTTAGCCAAGACGACAGGGGGTGTAGAGTCCCAAGGAACATCAAGTCCCTTCATTCCACCGTAGGCCTTTGTCTCCTTTTTTATCACGAAACTAGGGAGTAAAGAGTGTCAAATACTCTTGCATAATCCGATATGAGATGCGCATTCTTGTTTCATTCGGCAGTTTAAATTGCCATTTCCAGCCTGACTAATGAAGGAGTCTAGGTACAATGGATTCCCATTCCAGCCAGTTCAACCTATTGTCTAAACACGAGTAGAGCGAGTGTAGCAGAGCCAACGAATCGGTAGATGGAGGCTGTTGGTCTGGCAGTACCCGAGGAACCTCCCATGAACCAGTGGCATGGTCACTAGCCCGAGTAACCACTCGTGATCTTGTTTACCTGGTTGACAATGGCCGTCATTTGAACGCCTGCGAAATGACATCATGCATCAGTGGGACGAATCTTCTAAAACAGACAAAACTCAGGTAACTCACCTCCCTTCTGATCAGCATTGGAACCGTACCAGCCGAGCCAGTCAAAGCAAGCATTAGGGTTGCTAAGGTAAAGTCCACTCCAGATTGCATGGATCGAAGAGTCAGTCTTAGCTTGCGGGTAGAGAATGATGATGTTGTTCGTATCTATATAAAGGTTATTTTAGCCAACGGCCCAGAGACGAATCAGCAAAACAAGTCAGACTTACCAGCCCATTTGTTGTAGCCCGTGTTGCTGATAAACTTGTTTCCAATCTGGCCATAGCTCTGCAGGCATCCATGAAGAGCCACATGCAGCTTGCATGCGGAACCACTCTGGCAAGCCTGTGGAACGTAGAGATATCCAGTGCTGTCCATTCCAGAGGCGCCATAGGTGCCTGTTTGGGAGAAGGATACTACACTGCCAGAGAGCTGTCCATTCTGCCTGGGTGTGAGATCACCGTACATCCACTTCAACATTTCACCTGCACCATCGTAACCACAGTTGCTGATGTAGGGAGACGCTGCTTGCCCGCATTGGTTGTTGCCAGTCGAATCAAAGTCAGCTGGAAATACGTGAGCAGCGCCACTGGTGGTGACGAAGGAGACCTTGGATGGATTATTAAAGTTGGCCAACTGCGCCTTGAGCTGATTCATGGGCTTCGGCCCCACGGTTGTATCGGCAGATCCAACCTGCATGTAAATCTGGCGGTCTTGCAGATTGGCGACAGGGTCAATTTGACTCCCACTCCAGGAGTTCATGTTGGCGACTGGCTTCGTGATGGACGGATTCTGATTGTACATGCAGGTGCTGTACTGTTTCAGTGACGAACATTAGCATAGCCCCGCGGCGCGCAAGTGCTGAGTATAAGTCAGAGGTCTCACAAGTTGGTTACGAGCGCAGTCGTAGGGGCCACCGGCAAACACACCGAAGCCTGTTTTGAAAGTATTGGAGTAGGCAACGCCGAGCTGGGCCGCCATGAACCCTCCAGCGGACATCCCAGACACGGACACGCTGTTGGGATCGACGTTGTAGGCACCCAGGCTTGCTGCCAGCGCGCCATGCGCAACAAGACCCGCGAGGCCTGCGAGTGTAAGGAGATTGGACATTGTGAGGAAGATGGAGATGGTAGAGCTCAGGTATCCAGACTGGAGAAGGGGACCACTTTGAGACGAAGTGGGTTTTTGAGTAGAGGGCATTTCTCGGGGGAGGCCTGGGGGATAAATATACTTTTCCTGAAGAACATTCTTCCCGAGATGTTCATCCTTCTTCGTGCCCGTCAATATGTCGGATCCTCTCAGGAGGGCTTCGTGACTACCATGGAAGGCACGGTTCCGAGCTTCAATATCGCCCAAGGCTCGCACCCAAGTGAACTCGGGTCATGTTTTCGGTAACTCGTATACGATGCGAAGCCTCTCGTCCTGTTGATCGCAGAAACTTGTTGGTTTCCAGCTAGTGTTTCAAGCATACGCCTCTAGAAACTGCAATTCCGCCGAGGTGATAACAGCCCCCCGCCTTTCAAGTTCATCATGGAGACCGACATCAAAGCGGAAAACTTGACACTGGATTGGGCCAACCTCCTAGTTGGCCACCTACTTTCTTATTTCTGTCATCGCGGAATGGGCAGCACCAGGCCCGATGTGGTTTCCGCACAGACCTCATCAAGCCGCCATCCTTGTCTGAGGAACTATCGTCGTACTCGGTTAAGTTGCGAACGCCACGAATCTGGGGAGTTACAGGAGTTTTTTGCGGGGTAATTATGGGGTTGAACTTTGCGGGGTAAAGTAAAGGAACTATTGTAAGGGTTGCAATTCAGCTACTCCAGGGGTGGCAAGTATGGAGCAAGCGACACCGGATCCGATGTTTATCTCTTGCAGCTGAAAATTCATCTGGATTATGACAGGGGCTATCAAGGAACGTTGCAGGGCATGAACCTAACCATGCGCGTCTTGACTTCTTGATGCGGACAAAACACTCTGGAAGGGCAACCCTCAGTTGCAAGATGAAGGTGAATACTTGGCAGAACCGAGAGAGCCCAAGGCCGCTTCACGCCTGAATCCGGATCCGATAGTCATTGGCATGTCTTGGATTGCTAGTGAATGGGGCTGTCTATATCTAGGCTGTCCGGCACGCTAACCTCTGCCTCGTTACCTCAAGCCTTTAGCATCTCTCCACAGAGATTACAAAATAGTCGCAGTTACGACTCACATCTCTGGGCACGCCTGAGAAGATGGCGAAATACGATACACCCGGCAAAGACGTCGCTGTTGGTGAGCAACTCGAGCTCGCAACCTCCTGTGACGGCGATGCTGCCCAGGCTGCCTACGTTGCGGCGGTCGAAGCTCTGACTCCTGATGAGCAGAAGAGGACAACCCGCCGCATTGACGTCCGCCTGGTCTCAACGCTCGGATTCCTCTACTGTGTCTCCCTCATGGACAGGAACAACACTGGAATTGCCATGATTGCTGGCATGAGCACGGATCTGGTCATGACGGGCAGCCGATACTCTGTCGTCGTGCTCCTGTTCTTCATTCCCTACGTGCTTTTCCAGCCTCCGTCGACCGCCGTCCTACGGAAAGTAGGACCACGCCTTTTTCTGTCACTTACAACGCTGGTTTGGGGTTTGGCAACCATCGCGAGTGGGTTCGTCAGGAACTGGAGCGAGCTCATCCCCCTCCGGCTCATCCTTGGGGCTTGCGAGGCTGGATTCTTCCCAGGTGAGTATAAATGAGGCGATGATGCCGCACGCCGCCAGTAGATGACAGGTTCCAGGTTGCGCATACCTGCTCAGTTGTTGGTATCCCAGATACGACCTCCAGAAAAGAAACGCCGTGTTCTACCTCATCGGAACAACCATGTCTGCGTTCTCAGGCGTCCTGGCTCTCGGCTTCTCGCAGCTGGACGGCCATGGCGCCGGTCCTTCCTGGTGGGGCCGAGTCGTGGTCGATAAAGAGACCGACGCCATAACTGTACAAAGCGGAATATCGGGGTGGAGGTGGATCTTCATCCTGCAGGGAGTGCTCACCTGTGTTGTGGCTGGCTTCGCCTACCTCACCGTCTTGGGCTTCCCCGACGCTGTGAGCCATGTTTTGGGCCTCAAGTTGACTAAGAGAGAGGCCGACTTTATCGTGGCAAGAATCGAACTGGACAGAGGGGACGCCACTGCTGAACGGTAGGCCCTTGCTGAAACGTCTGCCCCTGACTTTGTTGCTGATTTAGGCCCTGTAGCTTTTCTCTCCGCGAGTATATGGCAAATGCTTACGACCTCAAGATCTGGGGCTTCGCCGCACTCTTTGGTCTCACTACCGTCAATACATACGCTATTGCTTACTTTCTTCCATTGATCTTGAAAGATGGTCTGGGATTCAGTGTCGCCGTGTCTCAGTGCCTCATTGCGCCTCCGTACATCGCTGCAGGAGTTGCCATGTATACTATGGCATACCTGAGCGACAAGTATCGGATTCGTTCTCCGTTTATCGTATTCAACGGCTGCCTGCTCCTCGTTGGTATGAGACGCCCGACTCCCTATGAAACTTGTCTGGGGTCTAGGCGCTAACTCGTTTCTGCAGGGCTGCCACTGCTCGGCTTCGCTACCAACGTGGGCGCACGATACTTTGGAGCTTTCGTCACCACCACGGCTTGCAACGCCAATGTCCCCTGCATCCTGACCTGGCAAGCTAATAATATTCGCGGCCAATGGAAGAGAGCTCTCTGTTCGGCTACCCTGGTTGGGACGGGGGGCATTGGAGGTATTATTGGTAGCACCGTGTTCCGCAGCCAGGACGCGCCTGGGTATCGGCCAGGAATCTACGCTGCAATGATTGCCAGTAGCTTGATTATTCTCATCACCCTAGCGCTGGATGTCAAGTTTTTCAGAGCGAACAAGCGCGCTGCGGCTGGTGGGAAGATTATCGGAGGGCTAGAGGGATTCCGGTATACACTTTGAGGAGCGGTATTTACGGTGATGGATCGGAATATGCCCTACGGCTAGGTTAACTTTACACTATATTATGTATAACTATTTGATGTTGTAGGTATGTATTAACAAGGAGAAAGGGTTATAAGACCCTAACATATTAGTTTTAAAATTTCTCTAGGGCCATGCTTATACTATCATTAGTTGCTTTAGTATAGAAGATCAATTCAAAAGATGTAACTAAAGGAGCGACACCCATCTATCAAGACTGTAATAGCCATTACGAAATCTTCCGTACTAAACTCGCTTAGGTGGTAGTAGTATACGTATAAAGACAGCACGATGGCTTCAAGCATGTCTTTATCCGTCTCAAACTTGCGCTCGGGGATCTTCAAAGCAGCCTCGAACACTCTTCCTTCAAAACGGGTTAGCTCCTCCTCAGTAGCAAGGTAGCAAGGCTAACAACGCCACAAGCCTCCCGAATATGACAGCCCCCAAGGACTCGAACAAGCCAGACTTCCAAGAAGGCCATGTCGCCGACAAGCTGGTCAGCTCCAACGCTATCTTGGAAATCGTCAGCTCCAGCTGATCGCCATTGGCGGTAGTATAGCCACTGCCCTCTTCGTCATCGGAAGCGGCCTCACACATGGCGGTAGCAGCCGAAAACTGCTGCAGCCGCAGAAGCTTCTGGTGGCATGGCATCTAGTGGCATGGCAGGGTAGAGATGATACGACAGATTGCCGAATGTTCATATAGACAGAGTAAATACCTAGCCTATGAATCAGTACAGCAAGTATTTCTTCCGTTTCTCCTTAAACTTGTCCAAGCGCGGCAACCATGCGTCGCGAATTTCCTCAGGTGTTAGCCCATCCTCAATTCCTTGCCTGATGAGTGGCGATCCTGTCAAGAGATCCACGTTGTACACTGTCCCATCAGCCTTACTGTACAACCAGTGGAAAGCTCCCGTAGTCGGCTCATCACCCGTCGTGTTCCCCACCGTGTACAGCTTCCTCGCTGTATAGAGAAGGCTTACTCCCACATATGGCGCGTCGAACTCCTCAAGCTCTTCGACGGATCGCAAGTTTGTATATGTCTGCAGTCCGCATGAAACCTTCCCCTGGAAATCATTCGCCATGGGCGTGAAGCACTGAAATCGATATTGTGTATTCGCAATATTCAACTCCCTCATGGCTGAAACCCAAGACTCGTTTCCCCACGGCGCACCTAGCAGCTCAAAGGGCCTCGTTGTGTCCCTTCCTTCCGAGAGACTAACGCCCTCAAACATACATGTTCCTGGGTACAGCATCGTTGTATCCACCGTGGGCATATTCGGACTAGGCATCACCCAGGGCAAGCCTGTATCATGGAATGTCATCCAACGCTGCCAGTTCTCCATTCGAACCACGTTCAGGGAGAGGGAGGACCCGTCAGCAGCTTCACTGATCCAACCTTCACCTATGAACATGTGGGCGAGCTCGCTCGCCAACGGTCATGCCGTGGGACTGGGCGATGGCGCGACGGCCGACGTAGGAGGTGACGAAAGATTCATTAAGGACCGGGCCGAAGGCGTTAAGGCCGGTGATGGGGTTTGGGTGGTCGAGAACGACAAAAGAGGCTTGTTTTTTGGCCGCTGCGACCATTGCGCCATACATCACCCAAACATCTAGGTCTGGTTAGAATTATAGCACGAAACGGAAACGGATCACTTACACGTGTAGAACCGAGCCCCTACATCTTGAATGTCAAATAACACCGTATCTGCCCCCGAGTCTTCGATAAAACCCATCAGCTCCGTCGTATTCGCCATATACGCACCATATACCGTCAGCCCCGTCTTCTCATCCACAAATGTGCCTTCAGCATCTCCAGCTTACGCCGTACCACGGAAGCCGTGCTCAGGTCCCATGACCCCCACCAGGTCCACCTTTCTGGATTAGATCATTACATCCACTCCGAGGTCCAGCTGCGGGGTGACGCCAGTAGGATTAGTGAGTATGAGGACCTTCTTGCCAGTAAGCTGGGCATAGTTCTTTTCAATAAGGACATCGAGACCTGTCTTAACGCGCCTGCTGCAGGTAGCGGTTGCCGCCGTGGCGACCGCTAAGAGTGAAAACTTCATTTTGGATCCTTAATTCCCTCTTGAGAGTTTAATTGACTTGAAAGGGCTCGATGCCTCAAACAAGGTCCGACATATATATATAGATAAGAAACTAACGTACACGTTAATAAAAACGATACTACAAAAGGGCCAAGCATGCCCTGGTAGCTATTTCGAAACCATACTAATCTCGGAAATCGTAACAATTATTAACGAACTGCATCACCAAACCAGCCTCCAACCAACTGTCCCAAGATGTCGGATTGCTTGGCAGTGCAGGGTTGAAGGTCGTCGTCGGATGTGAAGAACCTTCAGCTAGAGTTTCTCGTCGGAAAACCCGACGGGAGGAACTACTATATGCAGCGGGCCAAGGGGCTGGGATATCCCGATGGCATTCATTTGAGCCGAGCTTGGCGCAGGAGAACTCTTGATACACCGCCGTTTGTTCCCACGCTTCCGGGCTGTGTTACCGTTATTCAGAACCGCGCTTTTGCGGCTGCGGTTGCTCTATGCAATATCCTGGGGTTTGATGACATGAAGTTGGGTGCCCACTTCACGCGCTAGCTTGGGTTGGGCCAGGCATTTCGTGAAGACTGCAAGTATGGGCCGCGAGGCAGCTGACGATGCCTTGTTCTGGTCATCATTTTCGCCCTTCGAGTCAGACGTAGAGGCACGGTTCGAGGAATATCCGGTGAATGGTGACGGAGAGCGCCTCAAGAAAGCCAAAACGCTCCTTGTTCGCAAGATTTCTTTGAGAGCGATTCAACGAAATCTCAAACTAGAGAGGCGGCGGTCAAGGGTCCCGGTCCTTAAAATCTAGCTAGAACGCTGTTCTAGTTCATGTATCTCCACTTTTCGGCATGACGGCGTTGGGGCTTGGTTTGGTGTGCTGTCGTTTTGACATGCTCTTGTGGCGGGACGCTCAGTGCTGCCAGAACATATGTCAGGATGGGTATGGTGGGTTCCCAGTCACGGCGTCTTCCAACAGCCATCTCGAAGGCCAATAATGGATGAGGGCCATGGGTATTACAGAGCATGCAGCGGAAAAGACAATTAATTCTAATTGCAATCTAACAGATGCCTCGCCCCAGCAATGACAGGTTGACTTGCGAGTTCTACACGGCCGAATCTGCCGCAGTACATTTGTATGCCACTGAGAACCAACTCCTTATACACTGAATCTCCCATCAGACCTCCTCCTAGGACTAGCGCGCAATAAATGGATTCATGAGGGCCACTCAATGCCCTTTTGTTCGCAAAGCTAAGGTCATGAAGCAGGCGGCTTTCCCTACCATAGCTCTTACCCCTGCCAAGCCATCTGCATTGCCCCCCCGCATTTTCTCGGCGAGAGATTGTGGGCTTCGATTCCCAATTACGAGAACCGGATCCGAAGGCAAACTTCACTGGGAAGCTTTCAATCTACATTCATCCAGGATACAGATCAGTGACATTTTACAGGCTCAGATCAATATCACTAGTCCTCGACCATATCCTTGCCTATTCTTCGACTCCACTCAGTCCAGACGTTCCGAACCAAGACCTCATCATGCAGGGTCGAGGCGACCTCGTCACCCGTCGAACCCAGTTCTCCAGTTGCGATGAATATCGCAGATCTCGCGTTGCTTGTGACTCTACGAGCCGTCGCAGCGAAGCCGGTGATTCCTCAGTTTCCTATACTCGCTATCAGAAAGGTCATTGGCTATGCACCTTCAAGGTAGATCACAGCACCTAGTGGGAGGTGGTCTTCAGCTAACTTCGCTTTCCCGAGAAGTGGATGCAAGATGCCAGGGTAGCATCCTTCCCCCTGGAAAGCCAGGGGCGCAGGCGAGAATCGGCTCGTACTGCGAGTGAGTTACGGTTTTCTCCGGACGATAAGCACGTGGATGCTTCAGCTGGAAAAAACCGGCTGCTCTCTGGGGTGGACTGGAGCGCATCCCCTCTTGTTGTTCAGGACATTCTAGATCCCACCCTCCCTTCTCCTGCCCCTGATTCTGCGCGACGTACTGTTGTATCGCCATCACACACACTAATTACTTCTCCAAGCTCGGACTTTTTGAGCGAGCTGGAGTCCCAATGGCTGTCTGCCCTCTATAGAGAAGGGTTTGAAGCAGTCTTTGGGTCTTGGATGGGCAGATACAGCAATCCCTTTGTGTATGTTCCCCAGGAGTTGACTTCCTAGCCCAAAACACTAACCCAACTACACGCAGGTTTGGACAGGATAGTTTTGCCGAAAAATATGTCAGCATCTCTGACCTCTGCTGCCAGTTGGATCGATGGATGGCAGAATCTTCCGACGGCCAGAACCTGGGCCAGCAAGAAAGCGAAACAGATCGACAGATTCAACAATCTCTTCGGAGCACCATTGCTTCTTATTCCGCGAGGTGGCTTGACCTTACTGCCCAACCTGCTCCTTCAGGATGCGCCCATTTGGACGTCACCCAGGCACTCTGGCGAGACGCGCGGCGAGACATGCTGAAAGCCATTAACCGGCCTTCTTATCGGTCGATGATATCGCTTTTCCTCTTCGCGCTAACACCAATACCGTACGGCATATCTGAAGAGGAGGAAGCTGATGGAATATCGGGGCAGACTTGCGTCCAGGCAGCTCTGCAACAAATACAAACTCTCCGAGCCAGGCAACGGAACTTGCAGTTCAGTGAGTCAAAGGTGTCTCCGCCCTCCACGATGAAAGTCCAGGCTATTTGCACAACTCCAGAGTCGACTGGAACCTCCAGCTTCATTAATGCCGAAAGCACGGCGTACTGGGCAGCCCTCACGTTCGATACTTCGGCATCCTTGACCCTCAATTGCCGCTCCCTGCTCTCATCCGGCCTGTTTGGCTTCGAAGCTGAATTGCCGTGGCGTCTTGTGAGAACAACCTCCAAAATGTTCGATGAGACAGCCAAACACTGGGGCCTGAGCAGTTTCGAGATGACAGACGAACGAGCGAATCAAATCATCGCTGCAGGAGCGTCTTGGAACCTGTTGGGCTGGAAACTAACGGCGATCTTCAAGGAAGCTCTCAGAGACGGCCATGACGAGTTAGAAGTTCAAAAGGGATATGCCGCCGTTGTCGACTCTATCAAGCATTTCAACACTATATATCGCCCCCGTCTCGACGCGTGCCAGAAACGCATGCAGTTCCTCGGTCAGAAGACGAAGCTCCGCTGGTGTAAGTATCTCCTTCAGGCCCTGCGACAAGCTCTTGTAATAATATCAATAAGACACATTGATGCTGCACTACCACTTGAGCATCTTGATGTTAGTGGATTTCATCGACGCCGCAAGTCGTTACGACCTGCTTGCAAGTTTTGCAGAGGAGAGCACCGATGCGGAAACCACAGTCATGAACACTCTAGCATTTGGTTTGCACAACACGTACACGTTGAGTCCTTTGCCTGATTTGACATCCAACCACCCTAATCCTTCAGTACCTAGCGGCAACGAAACTACCATAACCGTTCCGCTTGTATCTATTGACCCCTACTCACATCACGTTGTGGCCGGCGTGGCACTTATGCGCAAGGCCATTGACCGGAACTATGGTGTTGGGAAAATAGCCAAGGAACCATACCAGAATTTATTGTCAACCTTGGAGCGTATCTTGAGCCTTTTGCCTCAGTGCTCAAAATCTGTCCAGGCTGTGACGACGAAGTTCTCCTCAAAGGCGCCAGATGAGGAATTGTCGAATCCTCAGGCCTCTCCGTAAGCAACGGTATCTCTCTCTTTCTCAAACTCTAGCTTACTTAACTGAAAGGGAAAATAGAACATCAGCAGGAAGGACAACGGAGCATGATGCAAGTAAAAGAAAGCAGCCCGTCGTCAAGAGATGAATGGTAATGAAGAATTAAAAGAACATGAAGAAGGAGGCGAAAGACGTAAAGCTCCTGGGGTGTGATTACACTCCATCCTTGTTATGGTTATCCTCATCTAGCATAGCGTGACGCTGTTGACACCTGTCGCCAATAAACCTCTCTACCAAAAAGGAGTTTATGTGGGGTTCATGCCCTGCTGCCATAATTGCTTTGCAAATGATCAGAAAGGAAGTCGCTAAAATCTCCTGTTCATTATGGATTATGAATTGCAGTGGCTACTCAGCCAACAACATACATTTATCCATGGTGTCTAACATTAGCCCGGCAAGATTGGCCTGGCAAGATTGGCATCATCCTCCACAAATCAACGAAGTAGCATTTCAACACGAGATGGGATGGAGAGGAATACACAGTACCTCGTTTAAATATGGGATCAAGGGAGTGACAGAGGGACGACTTGCAGGACGATCTACCAGGGAGCAAGCCGAACCGCATCGCATCGTCACAGCTTGAATGCCCACTGATGCCCTCACGGCTGAGTAGAGCATTGCCGAGACTCAGCGGGTAGACCCAACGCATGTACAAAAGCGTTGTAGCATTTCCAAGACGGCAGGACTGGAGCGGAAGGCAAGAGGGAACCATGCGCTCTTGCTTTGCAGCAGTGAAGAAGTATAATAATGAAGCATCACCTAAACCTGGTCAAGGCTACCAAGAACTGACATGTGGAACCTAACTAGCCAGCTTGCCACATGGTCTGGATCTCAAGCTCCGAATGAATCTGAAAGACCAAGTCATGGTAGACAGTCACGGCCAGATCTCTGTATCAGCCAAAGAATGACAAGCTGCTACGCGAAGATAAGTGGAACAGTTAAAACAGGAGATCACGAGTGTTTTATAACTGAGTAGCGACGCCCGTTCCTCCATCACTCGGCTGGTCATAATATGGAGGAACGAGCGGCGAAGGGTGATGACCAACTGCTGGTGCGAGACAACTGTTGGTGGGGATACGTTTAAGATCTTAATGTGAGACTCCACGATCCGCTACGGGATGGCCGATGTGGATTTTGCGCAGAAATCTCCAGATGCTGGTTAATGATTGCGAGGATAGTATTGGTTCTCGGCGTGCCAAAATAGCCTTGGGAGCGCGCGCTGTGCGTGGAGCGTTCTCCATTCCCATAGCGTTCCGACCAAGCTACTGGAAGAAACCCTTCCCGTATCTGAGTCTGAGCGGTGGTGGCCTGATTGGGACGCAAGAAAAGACATTGTACGATCAATCACGGGATTGACATACAAAAAAACGTTTGGGTCTTGCATAGCTTCGTGCGAGGAACAAGATGCATTCCCCCGTTACTATGATAAAAGTGCCTGAAAAGCTGGCGCAAACAGTTGAAACCTTCAAGAATAACCGCTCGAAGTTCGTTCAATTTGGACGGTCATCTCATTCGTAACCTGGATACCCCTTTCCCCCTCGACCTGTTTCCCAACGAGGGTTTCATCTCGACGGGCTGATATGACAATCTGTGGTCCACGACGTCCATCCATGACTACATAATCATCTTGACAACACCCCAACTGTTCTGGATCAGCCAGATGCCGCGTGGAACTAGAGTCATCAACTTCTTTGTGTGTCGTGACCCTCCTGAGGTCGATCCCTTCACCTTGCCCACAATGACGCTGCTGGTTGTCTCGGCTGGACATGGCATGGACCTGGGTGCTATCTTAGACAAGATCGGTCGTAGAATTGGAAGGCAGGCTAAAACAAGTTCAGCAACGATGGAAGCGTTACTTGGACCGGTAAACGTACAGGACACGATGGCGAGATTGACCTCCACAGTAGCCCAAATCATGATGGATGCAATATCTGAAGGCATTTCCGGGGACGAGGGATCAAACCTGAGTGACTCGACAAGAACCACGATAGATGTAACGCATACTCTGAAACAGTCAGCGGTAGTCCCAAGTAGGTCAGATCGATGATGCGCTTACAATGTACCAAACATGAAGAGCGATAGAACAGCTGCCTTCTCAGCAGATCGAAGCTGCAGACGCTTGACCTGCAAAACAGGGAGCACCAGGATGAATACGTCGATGATTAAATGAACCAATACCGTGCCAAAAAAGAACTTGGAATCGTTGATGCTACATACGGCACCCTCAATTGTCTTATCCCAGAAAGCCTGTACGGGAACGCAGTGGAATATGGCGAGGAACGTGCGGATGATTAGCCATAGCAGGGAGCATGTCGCAAGAATCTGAATCGGTATTCTGATATTGGACTTGCTGAGAAAGCGCCAGTAAAATCCCAGGATTGAAAATTTTTGGCAAGGCGAGGGAGAGGGCGTAGAACAACTCTGCGTTCCACAGAAAGAGGTGTGATTGTCGGAGTGCTTGCTCGGGGCTCTTGCCCTCAACGTCATCAAGGGATATTCCAAGCCCGGCATGCAAAGTCCCTGCGATTTTTGTTAGCAGTGCTATTACCGGCTTGAGCAGGTCAATACTTCGCACATGCAACCATGACAGCTGACCAAGAGCATGCGAAGACCTAGAATATAAAGCTTAGGAGAATGAGTCTCGGTTTGGGGACTTTAATTGCATACAAACGCGCTGATGGCAAAGTAATCATCGAGCCACAAGACTACCTTGGTCATGCAACGAGCCACGAGCCGGCCAGTGAGGGCCAGGGCGGCAACCACCATCGTCACAAAGACTGATACGACGAAGTTTGGGTCAAATTGAGCCATGATCTGGATGGGATGGAGAGTTGAAGTTGTTGCGTATTGACCACTATTGTTTCAAGGGAGGGGGGAGACTTAACGTTGCGGCTATGGACGGGCCAGCATCCATCCAGGGCGTGACGTGGACGGGCGCAGAACTCAGCTGGGGCATGTTCATTGCCACGACTCGTGGAGAACGAATGGGGTTGCAGCCGCTCCTTAATACCCCGCGTTTGTGACGGCTCGGGGGCTTGCATCTAATGGCTGACAACTGCGGGTGAGTTGGCATCAACGTGGCGTTGGCTGGTCTCGAAATTCATCGCCACCGATTCTTGGGTTATTCGTCCCCATCCGAGGAGTTCGTGCCCGAGAAGATGTACTTGTCTTGTACTGTATCAATCTCCGCGCTTTTTCCTTTCGCTATCACTATACAGAACAAGTTCTTTCAGATCTGACACTAATAAAAAAACCCTGCCTCATGCGCCACGCCTGAAACAATTGGATGCGTGATTGTTGCGGCACGGCGCGATGTACCAGTGTGTGTCATATGAGGGTTGGGGGTAGATGAATCGCGGTGCTAGGGATAGCTAGGTGTTGTGGTCTTGTTCAGTCACTCAGTCTCATTTCCCCCGACGGGCAGCTCACTGATCCGTTGGGTTAACCCTCTGACTGTTGCGGCTTAATGACTCAAGCCATCATCTTTCACCAGTATGCTCAGATAACGCGATTCCTATTTGACATGTACTCGGGTCGCTGGGCGAGCAACCTGGCAACCTCCAGAGACAACAACGTACGCAGAATTTCTCAGACTCGAGGCGGCCGACCATGCGGTTTCCGCTCCGCCCAACTACTTGCTAGAGACACATCAATAAAGGGAGCATTGAGCCCTCCCTAACAAAAATTTGTTGTCAAGGACCCGCTCACTAAAATTCGGCAGAAAATGCAAAACTGGAAGGAAGCTATTTGTATTTGACCGAATGCTGTACCAAAGCGCCCTCCTCAGACGTCCGTGACATGACCTTCCGCACAACTGCACAGCCTGTCTACCCCGCAATACTAAACTCCATAACTATCTGTAGCTGGATACGCACGACCAGACAACATCGAGATCCGTACTACCTCCACTCAAGTGAACACCTTGGCTTGCCTTTGAAGACTGAGGAACGTTTCTTTGTCGTGGCCTGGGATGACTTGACCTTTGGTGATCCGCTCCAGGTGTTTGAGGCGCTGAGTGCTTCTGAACCAGGCTGGGTGGTCCCGGGCCAGCCAGCCCTGGGGGATGCCATCTCGCCACTAATCGCAGCCATCAGCTTCAATTGACACAAGGATACACAGCCCGTGTTGAAAAATCGATACACACTCACATTCTCAATAACGTGGCAATGATCGCCGATGAAGAAAAACGTGCCAGTCTGGAGCATGTTGATTTGCATTCCAACAAGACCGTCTGTGTGCCCTGGTAGATGGTGCAATGTGATGCCCTGACAAAAGTCAAAGGTCTGCTCATCAAAGGTCTTCCAGTTCCTGGGCAACGTTAGCGTTTCAAGAAGAATTTTGTGGTACCTCGACATGAATGGTGAGCATACAGGCCTAACTTGAGGTAATTCTCCAGGTAGACACCGACATCCGCCCCCGTGGCCACCGACCAAAACGCAGACCGTAGCTCCTTATCATGCACCCAGACCTCGACATCTTTTCGGTCTAAGAATTCATCCAACCCCCCCGCATGATCCAGGTGCAAGTGCCCTATGATTACCTTCTTGACATCTTGAATATTATGGCCCGTCGCCGCGATGGCCGCACGGAGCTCGTGCTGGGGCTCATAGCGCACACGTGCGAAGACATCCGACAGAGCAGGACCCCAAACCTGAGGGTAGTTCTTTCCGCAGCCAGTTTCCCAGAGTATGAGGCCCTCTTCCGGATGATCGATCAATATGCAGTACATGGGTAATTCGCGCCGTTTGTTGACGGACGAATGGCCTTCGGTGCTCTTGACGCTAGAGTTTCCGCCGCGGAGGACGTATCCTTCGTCGCATTCCAGCCAGCCTACTTCGAGGACGTGGAATTTGGTGCCTTGGGGGGAAACATTGGAGACGTAGGCTGCTATGGCTCCATGGTTGATCTGATCTTCAATCTTGGTCATAATGGGGACGGGAGTAAAGGATTTAGCAACGGAGTGTTAATAAGGGTTCTAGTGCCAATTTCCTCGGCGTCGTTATCATCAGATATGTACAATGTATATTATATATGTGTGTGCGCATACACGAAAGCCGTAGCGGGCCGTGAATTTGCTCGGTACCGCATGAATCATTGAAGCCAATGGCAAAGCATGACATGGGCCTGGAGTATCCACTGCCACATGGTCTCTCGACATGGCACTGATGAGCTGTCAGCCAGGTGGCGTTAAAACTATTTACCCCAGATATCTACCCCCGCGTCTTACGATAATATTTCGGATGAACGTTGACTATTTGCTGCTGGGAAAATATGACAAGTCGCCTTGCAAAGTTTCGGAAGGTAAGGTTCTCTCGCTAGTGTAGCTGACGAGCATGACAAGAGGGTAAGATGTGCACACCGCCTGTTCCCCACATCACCTATTTCCCCACATCAGCGTCACCGTCAGCGGAAATCGCCAATATGACCATCAATTTAGTTATGAGACCAAAGTTGCTATGTTTGGCCAAGCTGGATGACGGAACATCTGTCGAGGAGGTTGTGCGTCAGCCCAACACTACGGTAGAAACTGGACAAATTGAGGGTCTTGGCAGAGTGAGGCGCCTTCGAAAGCTCGGTCAACCAATGGCTGCTTTGGAAATAGAATAATATATAACTGAATGCAATTGTGAATGGCTCAAGTAAGGGCGTAGCGGAGCTTTATGGGGCAGATCGTGTATAAGCGAGGAAAAAGTGCCAAGCCCCTCAATTCATCGAGTTTCTACGGTAAGCCGTCTAGGATCTGTCGGATCCGAGATGGCTAGACAAGTGACCACACATCGAGAACCGGCCTCGGTCGGGCCGGCCGGAGGTCGTCTCGGAGAAGGGATAATGACATATCATACACTTAGCCTATAAGGGCCGCGAAATCCCATGGAATACCCTAGTTGCCGAGCTTGATGGCCCGAGTTTAGGCGCCAAAGGCCGAAGAATTGGTCCAGGTATGAGCGTCTAAAGTTCATAGGGACGTAGCGTTAATCGCCGACCAGATGATGTTCACCGATGCAATCGCGTGCGAGCCGTATACGGCAACCCAGGGTTGGTATGCAATGTTTTAAATGGAAGAAGAGAACTTTGCAATATACGATTTATTGCAATCGACCCTTTTTTTTTTGGCTGCGCAATATGTGTTGTGAAAGTTGGGTGATAATGATGTGGTGGCGGTCCCACTAGTGGGTTGATAAGACTTTTTAACATATACTGTAGTATGGTGTTATCTTCCGCCACGCGTCGTCTTGAGTAGGCGGGGGATCCTCGTATTACTTTATCGCTCATTGCGATGAACCGCAGGTAATGACGGCTGCTACGATGATCCGCGACCCATGACATTCGCATCGCCGGTGGTCCGTACCAAAGACGCGCAAGTAGGCAAACAATAATATCGAAGCTGAACTGTGTAATATCGAGAACAACTTTTAAGTGAGAAAGTGGTCACAGAGCATTAGTGGGTCTAATCTCGTTGTGGCAAGCATGAGACACATCTGCATTCTACATCAGGACAAAAGCGCAACTAAGCACGACAACATGGTCTAAGAGCTGCAACAGGATGAAGCACTGTTCGAGATGTGGACTTGGTTAAAGGTGCGGACTTGCGAACATGAAAAGAATTGTACTAAGTTGAATGTGAAATCCTCTCTTGGGATTACGAAAGGGCATCGATCTTGAAAACCACCTTGTGAACCTTCCTTGCCTCAAAGTCCTCATAGGCCTGCGGCGCATCTTCGAGGGACATGGTCGTCCCACACAAGAATGCCACCTTCTTCTGCTCTCTCTGCAGCACGTCCAGCGCCTCCTCGAAGATGCTCCGCACGGGGCATCTGCCAAATGCCATGGTCACATTCTTGCCGTAACACAACAGCCCGTTGAGCGGGAGTTGCTCCGTATGAACACCCACAGAGCTGATCTTACCCCAGGGTCTGATGAGATCAAACGCAAGCATGAATGCATCGGCGTGACCTACGATTTCCATGACTACGTCCGCTCCGCGACCTTCGGTTGCTGCCTTGATCCTTTCCACGGGGCTGTCGTTCAGATTGATCGGAATGGCACCGATCGCTTCCGCTTCAGTCAGTCGCTCGGGCACCGAGTCAATCGCGTACACGGTCTTGACCATGGTGAGTGCAGAGGTAATTGCGCAGATGCCCACCGGCCCGCATCCAATGACAACCGTCGTGTAACCCTCTCGATCTCGGGGTGTCAGGTCCTTCAGGAACCGAGCAGCGGCAAAGTAGCCGGTTGGAAAGATGTCCGCCATGAGGACGAGCAATTCCTCAGGAATCCCTGAGGGAAGAAACCAGTTAGCGTATCTCGTTCGTACATTAAACTCTAGTCATGGCCAAATCTCACCGTCGGGAGTCCTAACAAGTGTCGTTGACGCCAGAGGAACCCGGACATATTCGGCTTGCCCTCCATCGATCGTGTTGGCCGGCGCTGAGTTGCCGAATAGCTCACCCTTGGCGCATCGGCTCGCCTGGCCGCGCACGCAGTAATAGCATTCCTGGCACGCAGAATAGAATGGAACGACGACCTTGTCGCCAATATCGAAGCCCTCAACCTTGTCTCCTTTCTCTACAACCTCCCCAACAAACTCATGCCCGCAGATGAAGTCAGTGGGGCATTTCAGATGACCACGATAGAAATGCAGGTCCGAACCCTGGCCAGGCAGGTTAGTATTCATGCTCGCGGATATTGAACCAAAGTGCTGGATACTCACGCAGAGTGCAGTAGAAGTCACTTTCAGCACGGCGTCGGTGGGCTTTTTGATCTTTGGGTAGGGTCGATCTTCGACCTGAACCTGTGCGGGACCGATTTCAGTATCAAGGATCTATTTGATGCGTTTACGAGAGAGATCGGCAATGTATTACCTTGTATGGACCCTTGAAGACTACTGCGCGCATCGTATTGGGAGGCATTGTTGCAGTGAACTTTGATGGAGAGGTATCCGGGAGGAATCTAGGAGAGTCGACTGAAGACTAGGATACTTGGACGTATAAATGAGAGGTACTGTCCATAATGGATGACAAGGAAGAAGGTCGGACTTTTTATAGCCACCCAGAGTCTTTATTCACCACACCTAGCCCTCAGTTCTCTCCGCCAGCCAGGTGGCCTGGATTGTTACTTCCTGCGGGGGGCGAGGCGAGGGGCTCCTCGGGCAAAACCGGGTATATGACTCGCTACTTAGCAAATGCATTCTATGCGAGCATGGGGCAGGATACGGGTGGTAGACCTCACCAGCATGACACTTAGCTACGTGGGAACATAATTTGTATAGAGGGGCGTCATTCAGCGTCAGAACAGTTCAATATGCACGGACAAAGTAGCCAACAAATGCTCAGCTACCGTTGAATCCATAGCTCAGAGCAAATTGCCTTAAAGACTACGGTATAGATAAATAATACAGTACAGATCGACAAGGCCAGTAGTCCATCCATGCAGCTGCCAGTTAATCTGCGATATTAATCAGGATGCTCTTGACTGTAAGATACTCATCAATTCCTCGCCGTCCACCTTCAAGTCCATACCCTGATTCCTTGACAGCTAAGCATACGTTGTCAGCTCCGGCAGTACCGTAAGCAGGGGATTACTTGTCTGTACTCACCTCCGAACGGGCTCTCGCAGGCACTCACTGATCCTTAGTTGACAGCAACCATGCCAACCTCGAGACTCTCGGCGACTCTCCAAATACGCGCCACGCTTTCGGTCATTACATAGCTACCCAGTCCGACATCACAGTCATTGACTATATCAATGGCCTCCTCTTCGGTCTGAAAGCGATAGAGGGCGAATACTGGAGTAAATGCCTCTTCGTGAGTGATCAATGAGTCTGTGGATACATTGCTCAAAAAAGTGGGTTGAAAGAAATAACCCGGAAGACCACCTGGATGGCAAGTCTCGCCACCGAGCAGGACAGAAGCACCGCTACATTTGGCGTCTATGAGCATCACGGTGTTAGCAAATGTTGAGAATACTGATACCAGAGCGAAGCCATTCGCAACTCCATTGTACACACACACATAACCAGTAGCGACGTACCATTGATGAGATACCGAGCCTTCTAAACCGCACGTTCATGCGTCAGGGGCCCCATTGACATAATCTCCGCAGTGCCCAATCCTACCTTTATATCCTTGACTCGCTTGACCAGAGCCTCGGTGAAAGAGTCATAGATGCCATCCTGAACAAGGATACGGTTCGCAGACGCACAAGTCTGGCCGGTGTTTCGTGTCTTGGCCTGCATGCACGCTTCCACTGCGGTCCCGAGCTTGACGTCGTCGAAGACGATAAAGGTGCTATTGCCGCCGAGCTCCAGAGACAGCTTGGTTAAGCTGCTGGCGCATTGCCGGACGAGAAGCTTTTCCACACTGGTGGATCCCGTAAAGCTGAGGTTACGCACGAGTCTGGATTTGCACAGCGCCTCTCCGACCTCGGCGGCCTTGTCCAGTGTGGTAACCACATTGATGACTCCCACGGGGAAGCCGGCCTGTTGTGCCAACACTGCCTGTGCGAGGGCGCTCATCGGTGTCTCTCCGGCCGGCTTCCAGATGGCTGTGCATCCAGCAGCACCGCCTTTGCGGGTTATCATGGCAATGGGGACGTTCCAAGAAGCAAGGCATGCGGCGACTCCCAGCGGTTCTTTGATGGTCGGGATGCGCCGGGAGGTGTTGGCAGCGGGGACAACCTCGCCATGACTCCGTTCTGCTTCGCCGGCAAACCATTCCAGGAAGGAGGGGGCATAAGTTACTTCGCCGCGCGCCTCGGCGACGGCCTTGCCGTTTTCGAGAGTCAGGATGAGTGCCAGATCGTCGATGTTCTTCAGGCAGAGATCACTCCAGCGTCGGAGCCAACGTGCTCGCTGCCGTGCCGAAGTTTTTTTGTACGACTTGAAAGACTCATGAGCGGATTCACAGACTTTGTCAGTATCTGTCAACCTGGAGACGGGAATTCTGAGGCCGTCAGTTCTTTCTTTCCCCGCATGGATCTTTCCCCACGTCACCTCACGGGGGTGCTCCGGGAGGTACCGGCTGACTAGATAATGTTAGCGAGGAATTTTTCGGTTCGGAGCCACGTGTAAGCGGTTCTTGTGCATTAGCGGATTGCGGGGAACGGGGGCTAGCATCCGTGAAATTGGGAGCAGATATCCATGGTTCCTGCCGCCGAGAAATTTTCGTTGGGTCTTATTTGACTTTGGTGGGAGAATAGAACCTAGAAGTGCCTTGACTCGGCCGCCTACGGGCGAATACGAGCCACGTGGCAAACGCTGCTCTTGTAGGACAATAATAGAAGCCACGTGGGCGTGAACTTGGAACAAGCTGAAGAATCCTGGCTGGCATGGCCTAAGCGGCGGGTAGATGGTAAACTACAAATCCGAGTTCTCGCGATGTGGTTGTGCTTTGACCTTTCCTCGGTTCCGGTCCTCTGTTGGCGAAACGCTGGAAGAGCCAGGATATCGGATCCGGTGAGCTTCTGCGCCCAAACGTGGGTCTCGAGTCAATTCACCGTTGCCACATAAATCGCGACTTGGGATGACGTAATCGATTGTCTCTCTTCCTTTTCAGGGATAATAATTACGTCAAAGGGGGCGGTACTTGGCAACTTCGTGCTGGTCTGTTAGGCCAAGCTGTTTGCAGCACAACTTAGAATCTCCCCCCCTCTTTTTTTTTTAAGAAAAAGTTAAAGCCTCATGATTTGGATGCGGAGTATGTTAGATACCAATAGTTGCTCTCCGCAACCGAGCCTGCTTGCAGGCAGACGTGACTCAAGTGGCAGGAATCAGGGACAATCCACCTCGTTTCGAAGCTACGGTAGCATTGAGTCTCCATCCAAACTGGATCACATCGGATCCGATGCCTTTCGATGGCCACCACCTCCACAATCCACCAGCAAGGCAACCCCAGTTTATGATTCGATAATTGAATTTGCTCAAAAATGTGGGGAGAATTCCGCTAAACTCTGTGGTTTTGGGAAGATTTTAGGATCCGCTCTTACCCCCGGCTGACGCATATAGTAATCCTAAATTCAAGTCAAAGCCAATAAGATCTACGTGAGCGAGACAATGTATCCGAGGGTGGTATGACGGAACCTGACCTTTTGTTCACATTTGGATCAATTATGTATGTATATCTCCCGAGTAGTCTGCAAACTTTGGAATCAACGGCCTCGGACGAGTTGAGAAATTGGTAAAACTGCGCGCCGTTTGGTTTCTCTGGTCCTGAGAGAACAGGATAGGCGTGCGCAGATTAAGACTAGGAGGTGCTTTGGTTCGAAAGAGTAGTGGCAGGCACGACTCTATTGCATGATGTCGAGAGACATTGGCTATTGCTTCCGTCCTATTCACACTTCTGTCCTCTTTCCATCTGATAGGTGCTGGACCTACCGACTGACAGTTCCCAGGGACAGGGTTCGGCCTGTGAGCCAACCACATATAGGGAGAGCTTATTTAGTGTTGACTCCGCAAACCAACAAAAGCTGGGGTTCGCTTGCATTTGCGAACTCGAGAGATCGCATTTGCAGCGCAAGCGCCAAGTGCAAATTTAAGTGCTAGTTGGTACCTGCCTACACCTACCTTAGTGTACCTACATCCATAGGTATGTATGTATGTCTACACACCATTCTCAATTGATACGGATTTACGAACCATTAAGTTCGCATATATACAGTTACTGCTAGAGTTCTCAGGCACCTAGCTAATACCTACATATTACGGCCAGGCATTAAAACAACATAAAAACAGTCACGTTCTGC